TAAGGAAAGGCACAGAATCCATCTCCTGGGAATTGAACATTGGTGGGGACAGTGAAGTAATGACCTTCAGAGAGAACTATGACTATTTCTTTCACAATATATGGGTTGTCCTAAAGCCTGTCTATCTGCTTTCTTTCTCAGTTTTTATTGTGCCAAGAGGTCTATTCTTCCTAAAGGATGAGAAAGAAGTGAGATGGAGGGAAGGGTGAAAAATTCTATCAGCAGGTGACAGTGGTTCTTAAATGCAAACCAAAAATGCATGTGCTAATGTTTTCACTTCTCTGTAATGAAAGGAGAAAAATGCAGACTAGGTAATGAGTTTTCCACAAAATTAGATATACCTAGTTTAAGGATTTTTATTCTTTGATCACCTACTTTTCAGTTCTGATATTTAAAATGTGTTTTCTTTTGTTTTGATACTTTAGACCGTAATGATTACTACTAATAATAAAAGTTGTAGTTTCAGACCAAAAGCTTTATATTCAATTAAAACATATAAAATCCTATTTAAAATAGCTGGTTGCAAAATAGTCTGAGATTATACAGAACAAAAGTCACTCAAAATAGCCGTTATTTGGGAGAAAAGTAAGGACCCATCTTTCTGCCTTTTTGGGGCTTCTCACCAAATAAGAGAGATGATTTCTAGTACTCTCCAATATTTGGCATTCCAATATCCACACACAATATTTTAAATAAAATATGTAATTACATTTTGCTGCCTCCACAACTTTGGGCCTACAATCCGACTGTGAGCTTCTTTTTGGCAGGAAAATTTTATTTGTAATCAGTTTGTATTGTATGAAATTGTAATTAAGCTGGGTAGGGGTCAGATTCCAAACAAGCAGGTTAGAATAAGTTTCCAAAGATTTAGAACAAATAGGTTGTTAAGGGGACAACATCCTCCCAATGTGCTGGCTTTGCGGAGGCTAGGTGGGGGATCATCAGGTGCAGGAGTTGACACTGAAAATCAAAGCTAACTAGGGATATTGTGACTCTAATGTAATTCCAGAAAGCACCAAGATGCAAGGGGTAGAGGAGAGATAGAATTAAAAAAAAACAAGAGAGGAATAGAAATTCAGGACCACAGGGTTACAAGCAGAGCTTTCATATTCATGTTTATTGGTACTATTTTTCAGGTAGTATGCTTAGCACTGATAATTTGAAGATGAATAAAAAATACAATTTCTCCTTCAAGGAGATTAACCTAGAGAGGAAGAGAGCCAAATAGACAACAGCACAGTGCAAGGCAAATAAAATTATGACAGTAGCACCCAGAGGGGAGTATGGGAGACACACAGAGGAGGCTCTGGAATAGACTTCAGGGTCAGGTTGTGTGTGTGTGTGTGTGTGTGTGTGTGTGTGTATAAAACTAACTAAAACAGCAGTGTTTTACACACACACACAGAAATATAGATATAGATTACGTATGTGTGCATTTGTGTGTAAACGCTGCTGTTTTAGTTAACACTAGACAAAAAGTGAAGGACAGAAAGCAACAGAATCTCAGGACACATATTTGCCAACATTCTCCTCATCCTTGTCCTGCTCACCAAGGTGTCTTTAAAAGAGGAGGGGCAGTGCAGTAATGGGTATTTTTACAACTATCCTCACAGAGAACCTTCAAATGATTACAACAAGCTAGTAGGCCAAGGGGGAAAAATGGTTCTCTTTCCTATTTGCAGACTGTGACACAGGCAGTGTCACTGTGCCTGTGACTGAGGCATGAGGAGAGCATGGGTCCCTGGGCTGTAAGGGAGACCAAGCAAGTGTCAGAGGGATGACAGGATGATAAATTATAAACAAAGTTCTGCTTTATGTGTAAGTTTTGATTCTGTCCAAAGCATTTTTATTTTTACCACTGCAGAGAGGAGTCATGCAGCTGATGTTTCTAACACCAGAAATTATATTGTCTGAAAATGATGGTGGTAGAACAATGAATGTAGCTTTTGCCTGGAAAATAATTTAAGAAACCTCACTAAACTCATTTTAAGTTGAGTTTATCAAAAGAGAAAAATTATGTTAATAATTGATTAACAACAATCATCCAATTAACAATAACCATCACTGTGGCATGCTTTAACTTTCCACAATTATTACAAATCTTGATATCTATACAGACATAACAGTTTTACATTTCAGGTGGAGAAAACAAGTAATATTATCTCTTTACACTTGTTCAAAGATAAACTTAGGCATATTAAAAGTTTTAAGAGTTTATTTGAGCAAACATTGATTTCAATCTGGCAGCACCAAACCTGAAGTGTTGAGGAGCGCTCCACCAACAGGAGCTCAGGGAGAGACTTTAATTTAGAGTAAAGGCAGAAGCAAACCAAGGAAACTATTGATTGGCTATAGCTTAAAGCCTGGTTGGCTGTTTGTGATTGGTTGTCCTCAGGTTTTGACTTCATAACCTTGAGGCATTTACAGGCTTAGATTTTGGTTTGCTTATGTAGGCTGCTACGTAAGGTGGCACCTACCAGCTATGTAGGTGGCTATAGAGCCACCTCAGGCTAATGGCCTCCTCATTTAATTAATTTAACACACTACATGGTATTAAAAGAAATATGTCACTTTTGATAAAGAAGAAAGTACAGTTTAGTCTTATTTGAAACTTAGCTTAATTTAAGTAACAAACATTCTTTATTTAATTCCCTGAGTTGGAAATATTCCATATTCTTTAGTTTAACCTTTTCCAAAAGGGATATTATTGGCATTTTGATGGAAGAATTCTTTCTTTATACTCTACTACAATACATTCTCCTCTATTTTATATACCATATCGCACAATACAGTATATACTATAAATTCTGTCTATACTATATACTATAATATATACTGTATAATAAACTATAATGTTTATAATTTATGGACCCCAGCCACAAAATATAAGTGGCACACCCCAGTCATTGTGACAATCAAAAATGTTCCCAAATATATTTCCAAATGTGAATTAGAAGGTAGCAATGCCCTGGCTTGAGAACCACTGCATATTGGCACACATAAAGAACTAGCAAAGATAAAGTTTATTCATTCCTTGAATATATCAAGTATTTTAAGTTTCAAGTGATTTGCTCCATAGTTTCCTTTTAATTAAAAGTTGATTCCTTTTTTTTTTTATAATTTTATTTTATTTATTTTTCCCCCAAAGCCCCAGTAGATAGTTGTATGTCGTAGCTGCACATCCTTCTAGTTGCTGCACGTGGGACGCGGCCTCAGCATGGCCAGACAAGCGGTGCGTCGGTGCACGCCCTGGATCCGAACCCGTGCCGCCAGCAGTGGAGTGCGCGCCCTTAACCACCAGGCCACGGGGCCGGTCCCAAGCTGATTCCTTTTTTTGAAGGGAGATTCATATTTCTTAGTTTCTTTTAAAAGAAGTTTATATTAGTTTGTTTCCACAGTAGTAAGTGAAGAAAGGCCATTTCACAAATAAGTTGAGTACAATGACTGCATCTCATAGACAAAGGAAACTTTGAAAAGTTTAACACTATATCATAGTTTTATATAGAACAGAATAATTACATTAACAAGTACATTGTACTTACAGAATTGATGTTACCTTTTTTTTTTTTTTTTTAATTTAAGAGCATAACTTAAAAATAGTCCCACTTGGTCAGGGCTACGGTCCTCCCAGCCCAGTATTGTACGATTCTAAAATTGTGGGAGGGAACAATGCTCTCCTAGACATCAATTCATGAGTTATATATACACCTTCAAAAGATCAAAGACTCCTACCGTAGTCATCCCACCAATATTTCTAAATGTGTCTAAAATATTTTTATTTTCCCTTTATGCCACTTCTTAAGAGTAAATTTCAATAACTATACTATATAACTCTGGGATCTATCACTTGAATTTATTTTAACTTAACTCATTTGAATAAACATTTATGGAACTCAAGTGCCAGGCACTATGCCAGATACAAGCATACAAAGATGAGGTACAATCTGGCTGCCTTTCTCTGAATCTGCTCCAACATCTTTAGATCTTTGTGGCAGTTTGGGAACAGAACCAACTGGATTGGTGTCTGAAGTGGGGGATAGCGAGGGGTGCAGTCTCGTGAGACTGAGTCCTAAACCTGTGGGATCTGATACTATCACCGGATAAATAGTGTCAGGATGGAGTTAATTGCTTGACAGTGTTGGAAAAAACACATTGGAGTGGAGATAAGAAGCTACCATTGAAACATTTCACAATTATATTCATGGTATTTCCCCTCAACATGTCTAAATGTCAATTACAAGGGAAATCTAAAGTTTTACACATATTCATCAGAGTTATGTCTTTTTCCCTCTCTGATATGTTTTTTTTAATGTTTAAAAAAGTTTGCGTTATTATGAAAAGCTTTCCCACATTCATCATATTTATAAGGTCTCTCTCCAGTGTGGATTTTCTGAAGTGAAACAAGACCTTTGCTCTCAGTAAAGCATTTCCCACATTCAGCACACTGATAAAGTCCCCACTCCTCACTCCCATTTGAATTCTGGGATGTTTAATGAGGTGTGAGTTCTCTCCCAAGGCGTTCCCAAACTCTTTACACCTATAAGGTCTCTCTCTTGTGTGCAGCCTTTGATGTGATGTCAGACCTACATTCTGACTAAAGCTTTCATCACATTCTTTACAGTGACAGAGCTCTCCAGTGTGTGTTCTCGGATGCTTAACGAAGAGTGGACTCTGAAGAAAAAGCTGAAAAAAAAAAAAAAAAAAAAGGGCTCTGATTAAAAGCTTTCCCACACATATGACATTTGTAGGATTTTTCTCCTGTGTGTATTCACTGGTGTTTAAGTAGGTCAGAATTGAAGGCCTTGTTGCACACATTATGTTCATGGGGGTTTTCTCCAGTATGAAGTCTCTGATGCTAAGATCTGAGCTCTAGCTGAAGGTCTGACCATATTAATCACATTCATACAGTCTGTCTAGGGTATGGACTCTACAATGCAGGATCAGATTGGAGCTCATGGTGAAGATTCTCCCACATTCATCAGGTTTATAAGGTTTCATCACAATTACAAGGTTTCTCCCCACTGTGGATGTTCTGATGGAGATAAAAGTTGGTGCTCCCACTGAAGGCTTGCCCACAAACTTTAAATTTATAGGGTCTCTCCCTAGTATGAATTATTTGATGTCAAATAAAATTTGAATTCTTAGTGAAGAACTTTCCACATTCATCACATTAATGACATCTCTGTCTCCTAAGTATTTTCTTTGGTATAACTTTCATGACTACTCTGTGATCTCTTTCTTGGGGTGAAGATTTCCTCTCCCTCACCAATAAAGGTTTTTTTTTTAATGTCTTTCATACCTGCCCTTAGGGTCACAAGTGTGTTCAACTGTAGGCTTCTGGGGATCATCACCTTTTCATCTTCCTGGGAACAATGAGTGAGATGCTACTTCTTCAGAACTTTTCTTCTCTGAAGTCAATTTTACATTTCTAAACCTAAACTCACCTTCTGAAACAAAACAACAACAAAAAGTTATCTAAATTTCACTGCTAATGAAGAAACATGCTTTTCAAATAAGAAGAAATTCTATTTTCCTTTGATCAACAGATTTGTAAAACCAGCTATAGATGAAGGATATGAACACACAAAAATTCACACTAAATTCTAATTTCTTTTCTTTCTGTCTCATTGTCCGTGTAACCTTAGGTAGGTCATGTCACTTCTCTGTGCTACTGTTTCTTCATCTACAAAATGTGGACAACAACAGTCCCAACCTCACAGGATTGTAGAAACACAGAAAACTGTGCAGTGACACACTGTAAACATTATGTAAGTGTTAGCTGCTATTGTTATCACTGTTGTTGTTATATCCTAGTATCCCAAAATTTTGCTTACATTAAATTAGAAAAGATTAAGAAATGTTACTCGATATTTCTAGAAATTTTCTCGTGGTTTTTAGAATGTCACTCTCTTTAAATTATTCAGGTCACATACTGAATAGTGGTTTGTGTCAAGCTTTGTGTATAGTTCCCTGTTATATACTTGGTATACAGATGAATAAGATGCCCTCTTGGAGGTCACAATCTAGAATGAGACATACAAGCAAATATGGGGTTACAATGCAATGTGGTAAATGCTATATAGTAAAGGTGAAGCAGAAGAGCTGTAGGGGCACAGTGAAAGAGAATCTAACCCTGAGAGGAGGAAACAGAAAGCTTTACAGATGACAGGGTGACTGAGCTATCTTAAGACAGGAGTACAGATGGTCAGAAAAAGGGAAGGGCAGGTAAGTAAGAACTTTTCAGATGGAATATATATACAAAGTTACTGAGGCATTTTTTTTTAAAGTAGATTTTATTTTTTTAGAACAGTTTTCAGTTTACAGCACAATTGAGTGAAAGATACAGAGCATTCCCTTTACTTTTTGTGAGGAAGATCAGCCCTGAGCTAACATCCATGCCAATCCTCCTCTTTTTGCTGAGGAAGATTGGCCCTGGGCTAACACCTGTGCCCATCTTCCTCTACTTTATACGGGATGCTGCCACAGCATGGCTTTACAAGTGGTGCATTGGTGTGCACCCCGGATCCAAACCTGGAAACCCGGGGCTGCTGAAGCAGAGCGTGAGCACTTAACCACTATGCCACCAGGACGGCCCTGAGGCATTTTTTTAAATGGTACTTTTGGACAACTGAAAATAGTTTGATCTGGCTGAGTACAGATTGAGTATGAAGATAAAAAGGAGATGAGGCTGGAAAAGCAGGCTAGATCATCAAGAGTCTTGTTGCCAGGCTCAAGAGTTGAACCATTAGCAAATGCCAAGCAGGTGCCTGATATTAGCTTCGGGTTTTATGAAAGTCACTATGGCGATAGTGTGGAAGACGGACTTACAGGAGAAAATGGATAAGACTGAAGGCAAGGAGACCAGTTCTGAGTCTAGGAGACCAGTCTGAGTCACATAAACAGTCTAGGAGAGACTGAAGGAAATAGTGATGAGAGCAGAGGAGAGGCAAGCGTAAAAACATAAGGAGAAGGCAGGTAGAACTTGCTAATTGATTGGCTATGGGGATTGAACGAGATGAAGGAAGTTCCCTTGAAATGACTCTTGTGCTTTTGACGAGATGGCTGACGTTCCTGTAATCTCTCTAAATCGTCCTCCTTTGACTTTTTTTATGTTCAGAGCTTAGTCCACTAACAACTACATTTTTCTTTCTGTTAACTTGGCTAGCTTGCAAACGTTATAGTTTAATTTTTCTTGCCTAAATAACCACAAATACACATCTCTGGTTCTAATGTTGTTTAAACTCAAGTTTTCTATTTTGGCAGAGGTCTAAAGCTCAATTTCACTTGGATGTTCCATTAGTATTTTCTTCACACTCTGTTTAAAATCCAATTATCACATTCCCCCAGATCAGCTTCTTTTCTCAACTCTTTCTTTGGAGATAGAACCAACCTTTCCTCCACCTTACAGGCTGGAAATTCTTAGTTCAAAGATTTCCTAGGCTCAAAACTCTTTGATATATATGAATCACAAAATGAGCCTGTAGTCGGGTGAAAAGTAGACTTGTATATATGATATGGGGAAGATGAGGCAGCCATCAGGGGAAGCCTGGGTGACTTGGGCATCACATATGTAAGAGCATCATGTGCAGGAATCATATTATAGAGACAAAGCAAGAGTTATCTAAAATGGTAGGAAGAATGATTAAAAAATAAGATTATAAGTTTTTTGTTGTTGTTAAGCTTATCACTCTGCCAAACCCTTGGTTAGCTACAGTGCACTTTCTTCAAAAACCCATCTCCCTTGAAGACCTGTGTGGCTCAAAGGGCTTTTTGCCTACCCTTCTACTTTAAGTAACAACTGATGTTCCCTGCCTCCAATTCACATGCCACTCTTCAGATAACCTTCAGACCCCTGCAAAGACCTCTCTTTCTTCTCTACGTAATGAACAAGTACCTTCTCATTTCTTCCAGCGCAAAGCCCTGAGGTCACTGTACTGAGTATGGGTCTTATGCATGTGTTCCTCAGGATTTTTCTGGGTACCTAGAAGACCCAGAATGCAAAACTCTTTCCCTTGATATGGCTACTACCAAAGTAGGTTTAGAAATTGGAAATCTTGCTCTGGGAGAAAAAAAATAAGACAGGTTAATAAAAAATTACCAGCCCTTATAACTTTTAGAGACAAAGGAAAGAAGTAAATGATGTATACGACATTTAAGAAAGCAATGGACAAACAATCTAACAGAAAAATGGGTAAAAATCCTGAATAGTCATGTTACAAAAGAAGATTCCAAAGGGCCAATGAATATGTGAAAAAGTGCTCATCCTCATTAGTCATCAAGAAAATGTGTATTAAAACTATAAAAAGATACTATTAGATACTCATGGGAATGGCTAAAATTAAAAAGACTGACAAAACCAAGTGTTGATAAGGATGTAAAGAAACTAGAACTATCAAGTATTGCTGGTAGTACAACCACTTTGGAAAATTCTTTGACAACAGCTACTAAGCTGAACATACACATCACACATGACCCAGCTCTTCTACTCCTAAGTGTGTAGCCAAAAGAAATGCATATATATGCGCACCAAAAGAATGTTCATAGCAGTACTATCCATAATAGCCCCAAAGTTGAAACAACCTAAGATCTTAGATTCTTTGTCCACTATTGGTTGACTTATTTTTGCCATTCAACCATTTTGCTGATTTATCACTGAAATTCATAGCTAGCACCACATGCCAGTCTAACTAAAAACTGGGGCTAGAGAGGAATTTTAGCTCCATAAGGGTAGAGACTCCGTTATAGATTACTCTTTCTTGAAGCACATAGCACGGAGTGTCTTATACCTTCAATGAACTTCAACAGACATCTGCTGAACTGACCAGAGGTAAGGAAAATTTCTGTATTAGGAGCCTTGAGGACCAAGAAAATGGTCTTATCACTGACAGAAACAGAGAAGTTGGAAAAGGGAGCTGGTTTAGATTAAAAGAGAGCTATTCTCTTGAGTCATAGGAAAATTTAAGAGGTTCACTATCAACGGTCTTCCTCTGAAGCTTGTGCTTGGTTGTAAATCATATAGGAAAAGAGTGAAGAAAGTACTGATGTCAACAAACAGCTGAATGAAGGAGAGTACATGACCACAAAGTCAATAAGAAGAGCAAAGCAAGATTTGTGATAATGCAGATAATTTTCCTGGACAAGAGAGTTATATGCTCATATTTACATTGGGAATTTTTAATATATACCCTAACCCATTAAATTCTCCACTGTGTGCCTGTGCCTCTCCTGGAACAAAGATGAAAAACAGAGCAGTGCTGAAAATAGTAAAAACACTGCAACTAACACTTATACTTTTAAAACCAAGGACATTCTCACTGCTTTCAGCTGAAACCCTTGCCTCCACTTGCTCCTCAGGAGACACTCTGCTTCTCACCTCCATCCTGTGGAAAGGCTCTCATGGGCTGAGTCTCAAAGGACTGGAACTGACTGTTTGACTGCTCCTTTGACTGCTCCTGGGGGTTCTGTCTCTTCAACGAGCTCTTTCTGTTCTTTTGTATGGCCTGGAACCTGAAAGCAATTAAGCAGATGGGCTTCAAAAGGAATCCTGTGGCTAAATGAACTCCCAGGACAGAAAGCATCAGAAGCCTAACCCAATCCCAGGACACAATCCACCAAAACTCATACAAGGAGAGATAATCTGAACAGGCCTATAACTATTAAAGAAATTGAATCAATAATTAATAAACTTACAAAAAGAAAGCACCAGGCCTGGGTGGTTTCACTGGTGAATTCTACCCAACATTTAAGGAAGAAATGATACCAATTCTTTATAACCTCTTCCAGAAGATAGAAGCAGAGGGAATACTTCCTAACTCATTCTAAGAGGCCAGCATTACCTTAATACCAAAACCAGATGAAGACATCATAAGCAAGGAAAACTACAGACCAATATCTCTCATGAACATAGACGCAAAAATTCTCAACAAGATACCAGCAAATCGAATCCAACAATGTATACATTGTTGGATACACCAACAATACACCACAACCAAGTAGGATTTCTTCCAGGAATATAAGGCTGGTTCAACATTTGAAAATCAGTTAATATAATCCATCACACTAACAGGCTAAAGAAGAAAAATAATATGATCACATCAATAGATGCAGAAAAAGCATTTGAAAAAACTCAACACTCATTCATGATAAAAACTCTCAACAAACTAGGAATAGAAGGGAACTTGCTCAATTTGATAACAAACATCTATTAAAAAAAAGCCTTAGGCTTATATCATACTTAACGGTGAGAAACTAGATGTTCTCCCACTAAGATCAGGAACAAGATGGGCCGGGCCTGTGGCTTAGAGGTTAAGTGTGCATGCTCCGCTACTGGCAGCCCGGGTTCGGATCCCAGGCGCGCACCAACGCACCGCTTCTCCGGCCATGCTGAGGCCGGGTCCCACATACAGCAACTAGAAGGATGTGCAACTATGACAAACAACTATCTACTGGGGCTTTGAGGAAAAAAAAGGAGGAGGATTGGCAATAGATATTAGCTCAGAGCCGGTCTTCCTCAGCAAAAAGAGGAGGATTAGCACAGATGTTAGCTCAGGGCTGATCTTCCTCACAAAAAAAAAAAAAAGGAACAAGGCAAGGATGTTCCCTCTTACCACTCTTATTCAACACTGCCCTAACTAATGCAACAAGACAAGAAAAGGAAATAAAAGGTATACAGATTGGAAAGAAAGAAATAAAACTGTCCATGTTCACAGATGACATGATAGTCTATATAGACAATCCAAAAGAATCAACAAAAAGAAAACCACTCTGGGACCTAAGAAGTGATTATAGCAAGGTCGAAGGATCCAGGTTAATCTACAAAAGTCAATCACTTTCATATATCTGTGATGAACAACTAGAATTTGAAGTTAAAAACACAATACCATTTACATCTGTACTAAAAATATGAAATACTTAGGTACAAATCTACCAAAGTATGTACAATACCTATATAAGGACTGATGAAAGAAATCAAAGAAGATCTAAATAAATGGAGAGGTAGTCCATGTTCATGAATAGGAAGACTCAATACTATTTTAAGATGTCAGTTCTTCCCAATTCAGTCCATACATTTAACACAATCTCAATCAAAATCCCGAGAAGTTACTTTGTGAATATCAAAAGTTATTCTAAAGTTTATATAGAAAGGCAAAAGACCTAGAATATCCAACACAATCCTGAAGAAGAACAAAGTTGGAGGACTGACTCTACTCAACTTCGAGACTTACCAGAAAGTTACAGAAATCAAGACAGAGTTGTACAAAACAACAGACAGATCAATGGAATAAAATGGCAAAAAAACAGACAGATCAATGCAATAGAATAAAGAGCACAGTAATAGACCCACACAAATATAGTCAGCTGACCTTTGACAAAAAAGCAAAGGCAATTCAATGGAGAAAGAACAGTCTTTTCAAACAATGGTGTTGGAACAACAAGATACCCATATGCAAAAAAAGAAAAAAGGAAGAAGAAGAATCTAGACACGGACTTTACATCTTGCACAAAAATTAACTCAAAATGGATCATCGATCTAAACATGAAATGCAAAACTATAAATTTCTAGAAGAGAATATAGGGGAAAATCTAGGACCTTAGCCTTGGTGATGACTTTTTAGATACAACACCAAAAGCATGATCTGAGAAAGAAAAAATTGACAAGTTCATTAAAATTAACAACTTCTGCTTAAGGAAGTCACTGCTAAGACAATGAAAAGACAAGCCACAGCCTGGGAGAAAATATTTGCGAAATCCCTTATCTGATAAAGGACTTGTATCCAAATTATACAAAGAACTCTTAAAACTCAACAATAAGAAACAAACAACCCAATTTAAAAATCAGCAAAAGATCTAAACAACAACAAAAAAGATCTAAACAGACACTTCACCAAAGAAGATATATATACAGCAAGTAAGCACATGAAAAAGTGCTCAGCATCACATGTCATTTGAGAATTGTAAATTAAAATGAAATACCACTACACATCTATTAGAATGGCTAAAATCAAAAAAACTGACAATACGAAATGCTATCAAGGATGTGGAGCAAAAGAAACTCTCATTCACTGCTTGTAGAAGTGCAAAATGGTACAGCCACTGTGGAAGCGAGTTTGGAAGTTCCTTACAAAGTTAAATATAATCTTACCAAATGATCCAGCAATTGTACTCCTGGATATTTAGCCAAATGAGTTGAAAACACATAACCTGCACACAAATATTTATAGCAGCTTTATTCATAATTGCCAAAACCTGGAAGCAACCAAGATGTGCCTCAATAGGTGAATGGAAAAACAAACTGTGGTACATCCATACAATGGAATATTATTCAGTGATAAAAAGAAAGGAGTTATCAAGCCATGAAAAGAGATGGAGGTACGTTAAATGCATATAGCTAAGTGAAAGAAGCCAGTCTGAAAAAGCTATATACTGTATGATTCCAACTATATGACATACTGAAAAGCAAAACTATAGAGACAATAAAAGATCAGTTTTGCCATGGGTTTAGAAGAGAAGGGGAGAGTGTGGCCAGGGGATTTTTAGGGTAGAGGAACTATTGTGTATGGTACTTTAATGGTGGATTCACGACATTCTGCATTTGTCAAAACCTATAGAATTGTACAGCACAAAGTGTCAGCCCTAATGTAAACTATGAACTTTAGTTAATAATGTATCAATAGGGCCGGCCCCGTGGCTTAGCGGTTAAGTGCGCGCACCGACGCACCGCTTCTCCGGCCATGCTGAGGCTGCATCTCAGATGCAGCAACTAGAAGGATGTGCAGCTATGACATACAACTATCTACTGGGGCTTTGGGGGGAAATAAATAAATAAATCTTTAAAAAAAAAATAATGTATCAATATTGGCATCAATTTTAACAAATATATGACACTAATGCAAGATGTTAATAATAGGGGAAACTGTACGGGGAAGAGGAGGAAGGTGGTATATGGGAACTCTCTATTAACTGTTCAATTTTTCTGTAAACCTAAAACTGTTCTAAAATATAAAGCCTATTAGTTAAAAGAGAAAAAGCTAATTGGAAGCTCTGAGTATATGAATGGGGCTTTTTACCATGGCCTGCACATAAGATCACAATTGGGTGATCTGGTGAGCTATTTCATCGTTGGTATCTAAGTCTTTCCTCTTGGCATGGTCAGATTCCCCAGAGAAGGCTTTTCCAATTGCCTGCCTAGAGAATAAAGGCCTGGCTACCAGCATTCTAGGAGCTGAGTAAGAGAAGAGGACCGGAAGGTAGCACAGAGGAGGGGGGCCATCTTAGCATTCATTGTGAATAAATTCACTTAATCCCATTTCAGTATGGCACTCTTACCCTTTACTGTGCCTAACATCTCTCAGTATAGCCATCCTCTCCAGAGAAAAATCTCCAATATTCATCTGTGATGGAGAAGCAATCACACCCATCAGCGTGGAACAGGCTGGAAACCTCAGAATCCAAGTGCTTCTTAAAAACTTAAAACCAAGTTTCCTTATTTTAGCTCTCCACTGCACTCTCATTCCCAGAAATAACTGGTGATGCCTCTGGGGATTCCACTATATGAACCGAGTTTTCTCACAGACAAAGAGTTTGTAAAATCAATTAGCCCTAGTCCATCTGCTGTCCTGCTTCCAAAACTTTGCTATTGCCCTTCTATTTTCCTTGCCATTGTGGGTATATGCAGTTTTAAAATCTTTTTACTCTTATTTGGGAAGGAATTAAATTAGTGGCTGTGGTCACTGTTGTCTTGACTCACATGTTCACATCTCTAGTAACAACAAATAGCATGACGTGTGTTTTAAAAATTTACAGGAACGATACCATACATTCAGCAACTTCTTTTTTTACCTAACATTGTGCTTTTGAGTCCTATCCATGTCAATAGCTATAGACATAGTTTACTTTCTTCAACTGCCATATTGCATTCTATTGTATAACTGTAATAATTTTATTTATTTCCATATTTGACACTCATTTTTTAAAATGTTTTCAGTTTTTATTTTGTACATCAGCATTTGGAGCCCTGTCAGCCTTCCTGTACATGCAACAGACATACAAGTGTGTGTGAGTGAAAGAGAACACAGAAAAAGCTAGAGGGAATGGGAAAGAGGTAGGAACGGACAGTAAAAAAACCCTCAAATTGCAGTTAATACAATATGATTTAGGCAAAAAGACAGAATAATTCCCACAGGATCATGAACATTCTATAACTGACTCAAAACCTTATCCTGAAGACAGTTATATGCATTTGTAATCAAACAAGCTGACCAAAACCTGGAATCCAGCCTGATCCTTGCTTTTCTCTTTAAAGTCATTAAATATGAACAATTTTCTTTGCTCTTGAAGAGTCCTATTAGAGCAATAGGATCCCATCCAAGGGGAATTCCAACTCTGCAAGGACACTGCCTTCTTAGGTTCCCTTCAGATCCTGCATTAGAGCAAAGCCCACAGCTACCATGTATTCCAGTGGCTGCTAGAGATACAGAGCCCCTCAGCATTAGGATCACACTGAGAGCTTTTCTGCTTGGAGCAGGCACTGAACGTCCTACTCCAACCACATACTGTAGTAATGTTGGACACACCTGACTTTATGGCTGGACAAATGCGCTACCACCACCACCACATGCAGCATGGATGTCACAGTCACTTGGTGTCCCATGATCAAACATTCAGTATCTGTGATAGGTGGCCCTGAAAGAGAGCAGAGTATTTTATCTATATAAGATATAAAATAATTGTAACCAAATTCTCCTGTATGACATATTCCTATGTGGGAATCTAAAAAGTAGAAGATTAAAGGAAGGCACTGAACCTTGATCCCTCACTGAGATTTGAAGGATTCAAAAAAACTTAGAAAGCCTACCCATTCCCCACAGGATTATTATTACCTGCGCTTCTAAAATTTACCCAGGAAAATCATTTTTCTGACAAATTCTGGCTTTTAAAAAAAAACAAAAATTGAAAAAAGGGAGCTTGAAAGTTTACAATCTCTGAACTTGGGCATAATACAAACTATAGGATATGAATTTATGAAAACCCTTCTGATATCAGTGGTGTACCTATAATGGATAATTGGGTAGTGCGTCCTTTCTTGCATTTTTCTGTGTAACTTCACTCAGGATCCACACCAGAGTCAAAACTTGCACAATCACTGAGTCTGCTGATAGTACTTAAAAATGTTAGAATGCGTAATGGGAAAACGGTCTCTGTCATAATAATAAATTTTTTTAAAAAACAAAAAAAACTTAAGAATGTGGAGGGTCTCTATTGAGATGTTTTTTAAGCTGCTGAGTTATAAAAAAGAAGACTTTAATAAATATTAATATATGCTTTGCTCTTAACCTAGGAATTTAATGCAAACCAAATATAAACATGAAAAGATACCGGAGGGACAGAGAGAGATAACAGAATGGTACTAACATTCATCTGGAAAAATAAACACATAATAATCAGAAAAGCATTAGAAGAGAGCAGTGATGAGGACTAGCCCTGCTAGATATTAATAATATATTTTAGGGCCAGCCCCAGTGGCCTAGTGGTTAAGTTCCATGTGCTCCACTTCGACAGACGGGGTTTGGATCCTGGGCATGGATCTACACCACTCATCTGTTAGCGGCCATGCTGTGGTGGTGGCTCATATTAAAAAAAAGAAAAAAAGAGGAAGATTGGCAACAGATGTTAGCTCAGTGTGAATCTTCCTCAGCAAAAAAATATATATATATTTTAAAGCTACAGTGATTAAAATATATTAGTACTGGAGAAGAAATGGACCAATAGAAGGAAATGAAGTCCACATGCACTCCTCCGATATTTTTCCCCACCACTCCTCACTACCAACCTAGAATCACCTTGGACTGTTACATGATAGTGTTAAGCCACTTCATTTTGAGTCTAGGATCTATTCATTACACGAGTTTAGTCTTCCCTAAACTCTATCACCCACCTAGGGTGAGGATAATTGAAGCACCATGACCTCACTGATCTAACTCTATTTAACTCAATCAGTCTAGGACTGTAGGTTTTTCTGTAATTAGGAAAGCATATGTTTCCTTGCAATATGTATTTACAAGTAGAATAAAATCATTCAGATTGGCTTTTTAAAACTGAAGAACCAAATATGTCACTGTATTTACATGATCCCCTGATGAATATTTAGGGCAATAAATTTTCTTGATGAAAAGCAAATACCAATGGAAATGCAAAATGGCACAGCCAGTTTAGAAAATGGTTTGTCAGTTTTCTTGTAAAGTTAAACTACACTTACAATCCAATTCAGCAGTACCACTCCTAGGTACTTACCCAAGAGAAATAAAAGCATATTTTCATACAATGACTTTATTTATAATAGCCTAAAACTGGAAAGAACCCAAATGTCTATTAATGAATGAATGAATAAACAAATTATAGTATATCCATACGTTGGAATTCTACTCATCAATGAAAGGGGAAGAATTACTGACATGCAACAACATGGATGTATCTCAAAAGCATTATTGCTAAGTGAAATAAGCCAGATACAAAAGGCTACATAATGTATGATTCTATTAAACTCTAGAAAAGTAAACTATAGTGATAGAAAGCAAATTGGTGGTTGCCAGAGGTCTGAGGTGGGGAGATGATTAACTAACAGGAGCACAAAGGAACGTTTTTAGGGTATGAAAACATTCTATGATTGTACAGATATTTTATGGCCAATTTACTTGTCAAAATTCCTCAAATATACTCTTAACATTGTTGAATTTTATCATATGCAAATTACACCTGATTAAATCAAGCTGATTAAAAAAAAAGAAGAAGTCTTAACTAGGGTTTGTGGTGGCTAATCTTCTGGCTACACAGACTCTTTGTCCTTCCTAACAGCACCAAGTCTATCTGAGCCTCTGCTCCAGCACACATTCTAGGAGTTACTGGGTACTAGAACACCCTATTCAGAAAGTTGACCTTGAGCCTAGGAATATGAAATGGCACAATAGCAATGGAGATGTTCATTTCTATGCTGAAAAGGTCATTTTCTGTATTTATTTTGGTAGCTAGGTATTTGCTCAAGCAACGCTCCACTGCCTCTCTTAAAGTATCTGGTAAAAACCCAGTTGTCATAGCACTCAACTTTTTGTTCAGATGTTAAGTCTCCCTGATTAACTGTGGCCACTAGTAATGCTTCTTAGAGCTGGTGGGATCCAGATGCCTCCCTTTGTGAATATTCCACAGCCCTATTGTGCCTGCAGCCCCAAGCTTTCTAAATTGAGTCCTGCTAGGGCCTCCTCCCTTTCCTATCACATAATTTGCTGTTATTTCACAGAAATGACAGTGAACATAAGCAATTCCTTCAGTCTGGTTCCATGTGTTTTATATCCAGTAGATATTCCTTCAAGCTTCTGGTGTGAGAATGTAACCCTTTCTTAGTTTCTGGAGCTAATTCAGATTTGCCCCTGATGCTTCATGTTGTTGGACATTTCAGCTGGAAAAGATGTGGGGGGGGGGGGTGGGTAGTGAGCTTGATGTGTGTGTTAGGTTACCAGCTCATCCAGAAATCCCACCCTACAAAAGTCTTGAGTCTACTTTGAAACATACATCCCAGTGATCATTAGCTGAGCGGGAACAGTCAAAATTGGTACCAATTTTGGTACCACAAATCTCACAAATTTGGTACCCAATCTCAGTTCCACAACAGATCCCACTCTTCACTGCACAACTCTTGGGAAGCTCTCTAAATGTGTTATGGGTTGAATTGTGTCCTCCAAAAAACGTATGTTGGAGTTCTAATCCCCAGTACCTCAATGTGACCTTATTTGGAGATAGGGTCTTAGAGTTAACGAAGTTAAAATGAGGTTATTAGGGTGGGCCATGATCCAATACTACTAGTGTCCTTATAAAAAGGTGGAAATTTGGACACAGAGACAGAAGGCACACAGGGAGAATGTCATGTGAAGATGGAGCAAGAGATCAGGGTGATGCTTCTGCAAGTCAAGGAACAACAAAGATTGCCAGCAAACCACCAGAAGCTAGGAGAGGCAAGGAACAGGGTCTCACAGCCTGCAGAAGGAACCAGTCCTGCTGACTCCTTGACCTTGGACTTAGCCTCCAGAGCTGTGAGGCAATGAATTGCTGTTGTAATAAATTTCTGTTCTGTAAGCCATCCAGTTTGTGGTACTTTGTTATAGAAGTCCTAGCAAACTAATACAACATATATTTCTTCTTGATTTACTTAAATACTCAATATTATGTGGGCTACACATACTACATATATACAAATAAATATACATGTGGACTCTTTCCTCTTCTCACCTTTTAAACCCGTGAAAGTTATTTCCTATAGATAATAATTTTTTAAAAATCCTATGTCTCATCTCAAGAGAGGGTCTATTTGTCTGAATGGACAGTCCATGGGGCTGAGCTCTGAGCATGTAACATATTGACTTTTTATCTCCAGATAATACCAATGAAAGTAAAATAGCTTGTTGTATCCATGAGTGAATAAATGAAAATTTCAATGAATGAATAATGGCTAGTATTTATTAAGTGCTTATTATTATGCAGCACTGTTCCACTTATTACTGTTATTTCATTAAATCCAAGAAGTTTTTAATTCTCAGAAGCATCTTTATCTTATGTATCACTAAGAAAAATGCTTTGAATTGACAAGACTATAAGATGCATTTCAATTTCAGAAAGTAAAAATAGAGAAAATTGTGAGTCTTGGAATGGATGAAATATGGTAATCCCATTCATGAGGGCTCCACCCTCACGATCTAATTACCTCTCCACAGCCGCACCTCCATACACCATCATATTGACATTCAGTTTGCTCAAGGATTATATCATCAGTAAGCAATGGAAACAAGATTAGAACCCAGACTTGTGATTTCTAGTTTAGTGTTCTTTGTACAAAGCACCTCCAACCTTCATCCCCTGAACACCTTCAACATTTCACATCCCCTTTCTCTGCTTTTTTTCCTCCTTAGCACGCCTCTATATGTAATAGATGGTATCTTTATTGTCTTGTCTGTTCCCAGTAGAATGTAATCTCCATAAAGGCCGAGATTTTTTTTTTTTTTTTGCTGAGGAAGATTCACCCTGAGCTAACATCCGTTGCCAATCCTCCTCTTTTTGCTTAAGGAAGATGCGCCCTGAGCTAACATTTGTGCCAGTCTTCCTCTATGTTGTATGTGGGTTGCCACCACTGCATGGCTGACGATTGGTGTATTTCCACACCTGGGAACCGAACCTGCAAACCCAGGCCCCTGAAGCAGAGCACACCAAACTGAACCACTAGGCCACCAGGCTGGCCCCAAGGGGGCAGAGATTTTTGCTTGTTTTATTCATTACTGCCACATAGTAGGCACTAACATGTTTGCTAAATGAATGAATATACATTTGTATTTATTCACTCTTGAAAATGCACAAACCTGAAAAGTTGACAAAGAATCAAAACTCAATGTGGAACCAAATTGGCTGTTATCAGAGGGGCCACAGGAAACAGGCTAGGAAGAAAAACAGAATAAACAGAAAGACATTCCCAGTCAATTGGCAAAATCAGATGGAAATTTTGAGTAGAAGCAAGTTTTCAGGGGAGGAAAAGCAGATATTAAATTCTTTCTGCCTGGTTTCCTAATGGTGGCTGAGAATCATGTACTTGAATACCTTCCAGTTAAAAGCGGAGACCTGAGGCCCCTACTGTCTTGTGATGCTGAGTGGGAAGGAGGGTAGATTCACATGCTATTGTGAAACACCTAAAGCAAGAGTCAGGAATCCAGAGTTCCTACACCATTAGTAAATCACAATTCTAAATACTGCTTTTACTTCCAAGGTCAGATAAAGGAAAATCTCTATTTTCTTCCCATTCTCGCCCTTCACACTGGATTGAATCCTGCTCCTTACCCTTCTCTTGTAAGCAATGGCTGGACTGTGGAGATTCACTTTTTAACTGTGTTGCCAAGGACAGGAACTTGAAACATGGTGACCTCTGTGCTGTTTCCATGGGTTCTGTCTCCTTCCAGGGCATTTCCTGGGTATAACAGGAACCCAGGAAAAACTGGGTACGGATGGGACCCTGAGAGAATCAATATGAAAACTGGAGTGAAAAATCTTAGAAGAGAAAAATCCATGAAAATCCTACCAGGGAGAGGCAAAGATAAGAGAGGCAAAGATATCTTTTATCCCCAAAGATAAAGACAAAATCAGAAGCTAGTAGCTCTATACTTGTTTAGAGAAAAAACTGAAATTTGCTGGGTAAAAGCCTCCCCACAGGCCAGAGATCTAAACCCCTTCCCTGAGGAGCTCATATTCTCTCTCCCACCTGTTCTCCTGGCTCATCCCGCTTTCTCTAAATCCTCCAGCGCTGTCACCACCTCTTCTCTGCTCTCGGGATGCTGCTCCTGAACCCAGGCTTGGAGCTCCTCAGGCAGGATGCTCAGGATCTGCTCCAGCACCAGCAGCTCCAGGATCTGCTGCTTAGTGCGCATGTCAGACTTCAGCCACTGGTGGCAGAGCTGCCAGAGCTGCCAGAGCCTACTCAGAGCCTCACTGCGCCCAGGTGTCTCTTGATAACAAAACTGTCTGACATGCTGGCGAAACATGTCCCTGGTATGGGGTTTCTTCCTTTGACGATATCTTCTATCTTCCTCTACCTTCAGGATCACAAGCCCCACAGGCTCCTTTGGAACTTGGAGGGACAAAGCTCCCGCTTCGCTTGGCTTCACGGTCTGCTGGGTTGAAATAACCACCAAAAAGGACATATTAAACTCTCTCCGTTGAGAGATACTTCCCTTAAGGTTCTTTCATGTGTGGCAAGGAAGTAGGACACTGCTATGATGGACAGAACATCTGACCGAGATGTCAGATACATTCTAATTTAGGAAACGGCATAAGAAATCACTATTAGAAAGAAAATGCTAAATTTACATGCTCCCAAAAGACAACTTCCAGAATAGCTGTCCATAAGCAAAGAGAGCCTGTAAGAGACAACAGATCACAAATCCAAATTCCCAGATAATGAAAGATTCTTGCTTTTCCTGCTTCTCCAAGAATTAGCTGCCCCTTCCTCTTGTGATTCCACAGCATTTTTTCATCTCCACCACGGTACCTACCAGGTGATGCTGTTACTAATCCTTTATAAGTCTGTCTCCACCACAGGAGCTGATTTTCCCCCCTTCTATATAACAATCCTACATCTATACAGTCCCTTACAGTTTAAGAAGTGCTTTCACAAACATTTTCTTGATGTCACATTAAAACAACAGGATGAGAGCTAAAAACGCCAAATAATATGTATTTCCAAATAACTCGAGGGCTCTGAAAAACAATAAACAGAAAAATCTTCTCTTGCTTAAACTTCTTCCGTGTGACAGACGCTCCGAGCCCCTGCGAAAGTGCGCGGCCCAGCGGCGACAGCAGGTGGTCAGCCAGGACCCGAGTCTGACCTGCGCGGAGGAGCACCAAGGAGTTCCCAGTGTGAAACTTCCCAGGGCGCCAGACAATAAAAGGGGGCCCGGACAGGAGTTCCACTGAGCCCCACAGCCGCTCCCTCCGCGGAGCACAGGGAGCCTCACCCCCACCCTTCCAGCCAGCGAATGCGACATTCCCACCCGGCGTCCCACGTTGCGGAGGAGGTGGTAAAAATTAGCTGCCAACTGACCTTAAAGAGACCGGTGCTAGAGCCAGCCGAGCCTACACAAACCAAGGTTACTTCCGGGTCCTCTCTAGGACGCTGGAGGTCTCGCCTTTTCAGTGGTTCCCCCAGCTCCAATTCCCTGCACCAAGAGGACAGAAAGGCCGCCTTCCCTGCACCAAGAGGACAGAAAGGCCGCCAAAGCTTTCAGACTCACTCCTCGCCCTCACCAGGGCTAACTGGCTGTTGCTTCTCCCACCAATATAGCATTTACAGACCCCTTTCTCTGGGGTAGGAAGAGTTCTGCGCTTTGCACACATTATTTCTTTTGATCCTGGAAATAAGGCATGAGATAGATGGTTTCCTGATAGTCAAAGAACTTGAAACTGGACCTTAGTCTTTTTCCACAAATGGTCACAATTTTACTCACAGTATTTCTTTCTTTAGCCCCATGATAGGAGAATTCTGCAGTTTTGACGCTGTTGAAAAGTCATCACTTGATCGTGTGTAACTCGTGTTCTACAAGCTCTCTACACTAACTTGGGCTCTAAAACCTGTAACGAATGTTAATTGTTTTCCCTAACTTTCAGCGCACTCCATAACCAGGTCCCAGTCTAGTTTTGCTTTTCTATGGATGGAGCGATGGATGAGACTCTCCCAGAAAAGGCTTGTAGAATTTTGAAACTTGTAGGTGAGGAAAAAATAATTTTCCCTCTACTCTTCTAAGTTCTTGACTGGGGCCCCTGTAACAGAAGACAGATTAACAAAAGAAAAACAAAGTTTATTAACGTGTATTTCATATGTGCATAGGAGATACCCAGGGAAAAGTGAGTAACTCTCAGAGGTGGTTTAAAATTCAGGCTTAGGGCCGGCTGGTGGTGCAAGCAGTTAAGTTCGGATCCCCAGCGGGCACCGACGCACTGCTTAGCAAAGCCATGCTGTGGTGGCGTCCCATATAAAGCAGAGGGAGATCAGCACGGATGTTAGCCCAGGGCCAGTCTTCCTCAGCAAAAAAAAAAAAAAAAAAAAGAGGAAGATTGGCAGATGTTAGCACAGGGCTGATCTCTTCACAAAAAAAAAAAAAAAAGAAAATTCAGGCTTAACTACCATCTTCAGCTAAAGACAAAAGAAAGGAGGTGTGGAGGAGGATAGTTATGGGGAGTGACCAGGAAAAGTATGATAAACAAGAGTAGTTTGTATACAGATTTAAGTCAGTGCCTTCTTGTTTCTTGTGATTGAGAGTCATCCTTCTCTTTCTGGTAGAGAGACACCCTTACAAAAGGCTAACTTCTACTCTGTGTTCAGAGTTTCTCCTGTGTCTGCTGTTTCTCAAAATAATCCTTATGCCAAAGAGACATATCTTGGGGTGGCATATTTTGCTACCCTTCAAACTGATGCCTTATTCTGATTCCCTTTCCTTATTGTAATCTCTTGATTTGTGATCAAATTTTGAAAGAAAGGAATAACAGTCCTGTATAACCTTTCCCTTCATAGCATGTAAGGACATCTTCCAACTTCCTCCAGCTGTCCAGATCAAACTCTCCTCTCCAAGGAGTTTCTCCAGGTCAAGAACTTAAATTGTAAACTTTACTTCTAATTACACTTCTTGGATTCTTTCAACTGATACACGCTGTAGATATAGAAGACTACACCCAGCCTCAGCATAGAGACTGAGCTCCTCAGTATTACAAGTTCAAGGTTACAAGGCCAAGCCCCTGCTAATCTCCCTAGCTTTCTTCCCCATCATATCCTTGTAGCCAACTCTTTACAAATATCATTTTGAACTACTTTAGGTCCCTCTAGGCCTTTGCACATGCTGTTCCCTCTGCTTAAATCAGACTCTCCACCACCCCTGCTCCTTTCCTGGCTTTCTCCTCCCTATCCTGAGGCCTTAACTTAGTGCTTCAAGGAAGCTTTCTCTTCTCCCTCTTTTAGTGCTTGTCACATTGTGTTACAATTGACTCCATGGTGGACTGCTTGCCTCTGGGAGTTCATCTTATTGTTTTCTCAGGAGCTAAGAAACATTGGGAGGTTGGGGTCTCCTTGGAACTTTCTGAAGAAAAGAGATTTTTGGTATCCTACCTCACAGATAAATGCCATTTTACTTTAAAAAAGGAGGGAGATGAGAAGTGGGAAATTTCTTATCTTTGTGAAAGCTTTTCAGAAGATAGTTAACACGTGCTCCATGAAAGAACAGGAAATGTGAAGACTGCAGGGAGAAGTAGGGTAAATCTAGACATAAGGATGGATTCTGGGTAAGAAAGCATATCTTCGTTAGTGAATTTTGAAAGTAATTTAAAATCTCCTTTCCTTTCTTTAAATAATCTGCAGTTTATTTTTCTTGTTGGAGAAATAATTTTGTGGAGGTGAAATGTGCAAGAGAGCATCAGGATTCCAGAGTTGACAGGGGACAGGAAAAGGAAGAGGAGGAGAGAGAATGAGAAAAGGGGGAAAAGAAGTGAGAAACAAAGAGGAAGCTTTCACAGAAGAGATCACTGGGCCAAGGGTCATTTAATTCGGAGGCTAAAACTTCAAACCATAAATGACTAAATTAGATAGAACTTTTAGTCATTTTCCCTCTTCTGTTTCTCCTTTTCTTTCTTGTCATCACTATCTTGATATTAAAGAAAATAAAAATACCTGAAAAACTTATACTGAACCTCTTAATCTCAAATTCATGTGCCCGGTACACAGTAAACCAATCACTGAGACATCTGGTGCTTGGAGATGGAGCAAGGTTTATTTGAATTGGCCAGAATGAGGAGGCAGGAGGATAGCTTCTCTCAAATCCCTCTTAACAGGAGTAGAAAGCAGGGGGTTCTATAGAGCTAAGGGGCTTAGTGGGAGGAGTTTCAGCAAAACAAAGGGGTAATCCATGTTTTCTTTCTTTCACTCTAGATAAGCCCTTGGGCAATCTGACTTCTGGGTGCCAACAGGCAGCAAGGGGCTGATTATCTGGTGCATGTAAGTTCCTTGAAGGTATTTTGTTTCTTCTGTAAAACAAGCTTGTCACAATCCTTGTGACCCTTGAGTCACCCCTCAGGTTAAACAAGAAAACAGCAAATTGACAAGATTAACTTCTTTTCATAACAAGGTTGAAAGGTAATGTTATTGAATATTTACAGTAACCCTCAGGTACCTGGCTTCGCTTAACATATAAAGCACTTGCATGTAACAATGTAAATTTCATAGAATTGCTTAATAAATGTCTGCTATTACAGTATTACATAGAAAAAGGAGGACACTAGTTGGCTGGAGAATTATTTCAAATTGGAGAGTGCTTGCTGAAATGTGGTGAGATAGATGCCTGTATTCTTCACTTTTTAGTAAATTCAACTCTAAAACCCAATTCTATCTATACAGAAATCGAGATATAATGATGTACACCTGAAATTTATATAATGTTATAAACC